AAAATGCTCCTCGACAACATGTTTCACGAGTTGAACATCTTCAACTAAACCAGAATTTAGTTGGACAAACGCAATATTGTTCCTCCTGGTTCGATCCTTCATCATAACATGGAAGAACTTTGAATTTTGATCACCATCTTCAATCTATTTTGCCCTAGATTTCTACTTCATGATACTCTCTTTGATTCGCTTGTTTTTCCATAATTCTTCCTGAGCCGTGTTCCTTCTCAATAGTTCCTGCTTAAGACTTGTACTAGGAGTATTTCTAGTAACTTCAACTAACATATCTTCCAACTCATTAATAATATCTACCTCTCCCTCAATTTTAAGATCATTCTAGCCGAAAACATGTTTATTCTACCATCGGAGTCTATCTTTTAAAAGCTGAAATTTCTTTGTGAGAATAAACGACGCATTCCCCACCACCTCGAAGGATTCCCATTCAGCCTTTACAAATGAGAAAAAGTTAGGATGTTCATACCAATAATTCAATACTTTGAATGGCTTAGGGCCCCAATCCAAATTTTTGGCTTTGATCCAAGCCGACCTATGATCTGATATGTCTTTGTCACTAATATACTGAGCAGTCATTTTCCATTCATTGATAAGCGAATGAGATATTAAGAACCTTCCAAGCGACTACAAACAACTCTCTTTAGCACTAAACCAAGTGAATCTATTACCAATTGTAGGCAGGTCTACAAGCCCAAGCAAATAAATGGAAGTCCTAAAGTCATACATTTCACATCTCCCTTGAGTACCCTTGCCAATCCTTTCTTAAATTCCTTTTGTGGAATTGAAATCGCCTCCCAAAATCCACTCACCCTGACTGAATTTGACTTTTAACTCCAAATTCTCAGACCATAATCTACATTTCCTAGCTCGACCGACATGAGAATATATGTTCACAAAATAACAATTCCTACCTCTCCAAGTTGCATTTAGGCCCAGATAACCAATACCTCTGAAACTAAAATTATGGCTCACAAAATCCTTCCTCCAAATTGTTAAAATACCCTCAGCTTGACCTATGGACTCAAAAGCAGACAATTGAAAATTGTTATCTCCCCAGACACTTTTCACCATGGAATCCATAAAACTTTGTCGTCTTGTTTCTTGTATAAAACACATTTGCACTACCTTTTGCCAAAATTTGTTTAATTCTTTTCCATTTCGCGGCACACCCCTAACCTCTAATATTGAATGCGACGAAATTCACCTAACCACAATTTCCACCGCCTTCTTGTTCTCGCTCGTAATCCTATCCACAGACTTCATTTTTATGATAATACCTTCAAACACTTTGTCATCTTCCTCGCCTTCAATGGCCAAACATTTTATGGTTTCCCACACTTTGGTAGGGACATCTTCAAACTTACGCATATTCCTTGAATTACCTTGATTTACATCTGATTCTCCAATTGAGTCATAACACAAAACGGATCCTTCAGAGTATCGAGAAGAGGAATCGACAACTTGAGAAATGAAAAATGTGGGAAGACTAAGCAAGTTATCAGAGGAAGGTTTATTTTTACCACAATTGGGGTTATTCACATGAATTAGGGCTGAGAAATACGAAGGTGAGAGAGGAATCTTAATCTTTTCATATATGTCATTTGGTAATTTTTTTCCTAGGTCTAGTGCTAACCGAATAACCCATTAACACCGGTCTAGAGCACGAAATTGAATCCGTGAAACAACAATCCAACACATCTCCCACTGTTCGCCGTGAAAATTGGTGAACAACCGCTGGTCTTCCAAATCGAAAAAGATTTATTTTACTTGTAGGATCGACCACACAAATCCTAGGACATGTGCTAATTAATCTTAAATAAAGTTTAGAAAAACAATGAACACTTCGACAGATTTCATGATAAAATAACTTGTTTCAAATGTAAATAAAATTGAACACGAACGATTAAAGTCGAAAGACTGGTAAACAGTATAGAAAGTAACTTGCATAAGGAAAGGATAAATTTTTAATGAAAAAGACTTATTGAATTGCATTGAAATGTAAAAATGGTGTTACATCAACGTACATTCTCACAAACTCATTTCTCTACATACGGGTACTGGGAGTATATTGAGGAATTTATACACAATTGAACACACCCAAATCCTAACACTAAGACTTGCTATTTATACTAATCAAAAATAACTTCCATCATCGGCTAGCGAACTAGATCGAGACAAGTGGCGTTCTGCATGTCTTCGATTCTTAGAAGCGCTCCACGTGTCTTCTTTGAGAAATGGATAAGAACGAACATTCCCTCCTTTATTTGAATTCAAATCTTCCTGTCGAAATTCCTTAAGTAACACCTCTGTCGAATCGCATTTTCCAATTGCTAGGAAATATTTTTAAGTCCATAAAATAGTTCTTCCTTGCAAAGTGAAACCTTCGACTCACATTCCAAAAATATAGTTCTGGTCGAAGTCATCTGATTTCTTCAGAAACTCTATTACTTCCTTTTAATCTAATTCAGACGTCGAAATTTAGAGCCAACACTCACAAGCCCAATATCAACTTCCAGCCAATGTTTTAAAAACCGGACCGGAGATCGAACCGGTAAAACTTGCGGTTTAAGGTTCAATTGGTTAAACCTACGGTCGAACTGGTAAAACTTGCGGTATAAGATTCAATTGGTTAAACCTACGGTCGAACTGTTTATTAACTAAACTAATAATATGAAACTAAATTTCATAGTTGTCACATATTATTATATGTTCTCAACTTAATAAAATAAATATTTCAAAAATTCATTAGAAGTTTAATACAACAATATCAATAATACATAACATTAACATAGTTTTACGCTTCTTTTCAACCATCATTTAAGAATATTTTGGCCAAACTAAAGAATCACAACAAAATAAATTAAACTAATTCAAATCAAGATTAAAATAATAGAATGTAATAACTAAAATAAAAGTTCAAATAATTAAGAATACATAAATTAAATAAGATAGAATATCAAAATATAAATAATACAATTTACTTCATTAAAAAATAAAAAATTGAATTTGAGTTGAGCTACGACAAACAAGTCTTAATAGACAAACAATATTGACTTGAACGACAATCAATAGAGCAGGACATCGTGACTATGCTTGAAAGAGACGGCATAATGATGATGGAGTGTGCTATAATGGAGTGACAAAACTTAGAAGTTTGTATGGTTGTAAAAAACACACCGAATTCGTTTTTGTGATTGGAGAATGTATGTTAAGTTTTGAAATTAACATATTAAAATTTAAAAAAAAAATTAAAAAAAATGGTTAATTTGATGATTTTTTTTAATCGAACAATTTTACAAAACTGTCTCCGGTTCTTTGGTTCAAATGGTTTTAGACGGTTCAATCTAGTTTTTCTAGTTTAACTCCGGTTTTGATTCACCAACAGTTTTAAAAAATTAATCCAACCGAATTCATCTCCGATTCTCAGTCTAACCAATTGAATCGACCGGTTCGATCTGATTTTTAAAACATTACTTTCAGTCCATTTTCTACATCAACATTATCTCTATTTCTCGATCCCAAACTATCAGAAACACGTGGAACCAAACTTTCGACTGCCCAACCTATTAAACTACCTTTAAAAGAAGGAATTGTAGAAAGTAGTTCTTTTTTATAGTGACTCGACATTATGCATGGTAGCTTTTAGATTAGTTTTAGAGCAGCACCTCCTTGAATGAACCTGGTTCGTATTTTGCTAAGCCAACGCTATGCTTTCATCTATGCAATTCAATACTAATGGTTGTTTAATTTTGTGGTGGAAAAAATAAGAGAATATAAATAAAAGTAAGATAGAAAAAGGTAAGGAATGTAATACCTTCCTTTATTGTGGTTAAACTTGAAGAATCCATTAAACCATAAAATAACAGAATTTTTCCATCAACTTTTAAACATGTGGCAATGTCAAGCAACAGATGAAAAATTTTATGCCAGCACAATATCTTTCTTTTCTATGTACCTTCTTATTATCCTTTCATTAAACCAATTTAAAAAAGCTTTGAGAGTATGAAATATGATATTTATGTGTAAAATATCTCTTATTAAGTTATTATACAAATTAATTCTAGAGGTTTAATTTTGGTCAAAACTAATTTTTAAGAATCTAGGGCATGAAAAACATAGGTATATGACATGACAATTGATTTTGACACATGCAATACATAAATAGATTGAGACAAGAGCATGTTTTGGATTTTGGTAGAATATTTCTTTACAAGATGTAGAATGAAAGGTGAAAATACTTTTTAAAAAAAATTAGAAGATATTTTGTTACACTTAAAATCTCTAAAGCCGAGATTAAAACTAATTTTTAAACAATTTTCCATTTTTTTTATAAAATTTTTGTTAAGTCAATTCAATTCATAATTGTGTATGAATATTCAATTACGATGTATATTCAATTATAAAGACTTTAGTTTGAATCTGTAACATTTTACTCATTTAATTTTAAGAGATAAAATTTTATTTATTAAATTACCATACAAAAAAAACATCTTAAAAATGCAAAATTATGAGACTTTATGCAAAACTCAAATAGATAATATCTATTAAATGCAGTGTTGTAAATGTGAGATCGAAATATTGACATCGACATAGGTAAAAGTCTAAATCGCATGTCGTTTAGTCTCTAAAATCTTACACATACACCTGATCATAAATGTAGTGTCGTTACCTTTGATGAATGTGATGTCGTAAATTTTGACACATATCTTTTTGTGAATATATAATCGGTGATCCAATAGCAGAAATTTTATAGCAAATACTCCATAAAATTTTGGATAAACTTTAATTTCATCTTATAAATGAAATACAAATACAGTTACAATAGATGTGACTATAGTTAATACACAAATCAAACTTGATTACAAATATTTATGTGATTACATTATAGTTAATAAAATGCTAGAAAGCACTTTGATACATAAAACACTAGATAACTATCACTACTAACAAGCCAGTTTATTCTTCCAGCAACAAACTATCAAGATTCAAGAACAAGATTGGTAGGGTTTCAACAACTGAGTGAGTGAACCACTTAGGTGAAGTGACATGATTTCATTGGTGGAACCTCTCAGTTTCCCTCCAATGAACACAGCAGGAACAGGTGCAGTGCAACCTAACCTCATCAATGCTTTCTCCATTTCCCTTCCTTCAGGATCTTGGTCTATCTCATGCACCATAGGCCTAATCCCAAGCTCTTGAAACAAAATGTTAACTGCATAGCATAGACAACAAGAGCTTTTTGTGAAGATCACCACACCTTTCTCAGATGCCAGCCTCGTCACTTTATCCATCTCGCTCTTGTGCTTCTGAAAATATGTATAAGTTTGAGGTAAGATGTGTTGGGATTATTGCCTTAGGTTTATTTAGAACGCCCAAACCATCAGACCGAATATCAAAACTGAATTCGATCTGATGGTTGTATAGGGTTTGGAAGTTTAAGCGAGAGAGATAGAAAGTTATATATGAAGGTTGTTGAGGTTATTTTGAAATGGTGGTAAATGAGAGTATTTATAGGAAGTTAGGAACTATCATGTTATGTTATGCTTTTTAGATACCAAATAAATTGTGTGATTTTATTCGATAGGGCAAGTTGGGAGACATATTTGCAAGAATATGCTTCAACTATTGTAGACTAAGACTAGGTATGAGACCATAACTATTTGTGTATGAAGGTTTTTGTTCTAACAAAGTGAATGAGAAAAGTATATTAATTAATTAGAGTGATTAATGTTGAAGGTGGTCAAGATTATGAAGGAAGATTGAGATTGAGAATATGATATATTGCTTTCGGTGGTAGCAAGATTCTGTTTGTTGCACCCACTAAACTTGTTTGATTCTTTCTACTCCATGGAATACATGATTAGAGTGAAATTAATTAACTATTGTCTTTTGAGTAGAAGTGAGAATGGAATCATCACTATAAGCTTGCAACATCTAGCTTCATATAATCATATAGTATTAGTATTCTTAAGAATCCATAATCTTATAGTCTTATATATTGTATGATATATGACATGAAAATAAGTTTAACAATCCTTACTTTACAAAACGGTTTTATAACATTGAGTTAGGGTCTATCTAAATTATAATATGGTATTAGAGTTTGTTTCAAGATCTATTCTATCATCTGCTAGCAGATTTTCAGATTTTCGTAACATGTATATGCATGCACCAAATTTATTTGTGTTGGATCAGGTTTCTGCTACGTGACCACCAACAATTTATTTTCACACATGTTGAGGTTGATTTGTTGAAAAGTTCAATGTGTTGGACTAGGCTTCCGCTAACATAATATTTTTGACAAAATTTAATTTCTTTTTATACGAGAATTGAGATACGAACGCGACTTCGATTTAAAACCTTGTTTACACTCTATTGAGGTGTGTATGTGAGTCAGTCTTTACCATGGGATATGAAGGAATAATAAAAGGAGAGAATACATAATAAGTGGTAGCATCAACTTTTTGTGTTGGCGCCATGCAAGTTCCACACTACAAAATTTGAATATATCTCTACATCAAAGTGATTCTCCCACTTGACATATCCCTATTCCCTAGAACCATGTCCCCATCTTAGTGGCTGGGAATCAACACACATAACACTTATTGGAATAGTATATATTCATCTTAGTTGGCTTCCAACAACTAGGGAAAATTCCTTTTTCCTAACCCAATCATTTTCATTTCAATGGAAAAAACTACCTTACTTCATTACAACAATCCCCTACAAACTTTGCCTACAATGGAGTGAATTGATGACATTTAGTATACTCTTAAAATAGAAAAATTCTACCATTATTATTATTATTATCATTTCCTTACACCAACAACGCTGTATTTTATCTCAGATCGATTATATAGTTCATTTTTTACATAAAAACACGTATTTTTTTACAACATACAATCCAATTATATAAAGATCTTACGTCATTCGATTAGTTCAACATATATACATGATTTTGTTTTTCATAAAAAATGAGCTATTTTTCCGGACAAAGGCCAACGATATGATTCTTCCCTCGTGACCGATAAGTCACGACCCTCTTCAGACTCGACTTCGTAGAGCCTCGTGCACTTGACCGTCCTTATTATCAACTTACATCTTATAACCAAATGGCTTTTGCATCCATAAGCATTTGTTTGAGAGATCCATCAACATGTAGAGATATAACATCTTTTGAAGATCCTACAAATTTTCCACCTATAAACACTGCTGGAACTGAAGGGTTACATCCAAAATTACCCTTCAAAGCCCATTCCATTTCCTTACCATATGATGAATCATTGTCCAGTTCATATACTGCAGGACTTGCTCCAAGCTCATAGAAAAGTTGCTTGATGCTATGACACATGTAACATGAACTCTTTGTAAATATAACCACAGCTTTCTTTGATGATAAATCCTTTACCCTATCCATCACTATATCAAGAGTGAAAATATTCAATTTTTTATAGCTAAGGCTTTTGAATATGTTTTGTTTTGTGAAACTTGAGATTTCATCAAGTCTTATTTATAGTGGCTTGTGAGGAAAGTGGATTGGATTGTATAAAATATAGAAAAGTAGAAAAATGAAATTAATTATAGTTAAATTGGATAGGAAAGAGAGTGTTAAAGATCTTTGATATCAGATATTTTTTTGGATAAGGGAAATGCTCTTGATCATTTGGTAGATGCATGATGAACAAGTTGGATTTAGCATCATTCTGTAAATGATAAATCTCTCAATGCTGGAAATGGAATAAGAACATATTGGTTATTTTATTAGCTAATAGAAGAAAAAAAATAACTTTTATGGTCCCATTTTCAGCATCATGAACATTATTATAATAATAATGTGAATATTAATGCTATTAATGCTGTTTTATGGAGAGAAAAAATAATCTAATGGATTTGGATTGCATGCAGTCGAGACATCATTACTGATTGTTCGATTAAGATTAGATGATTCAAAATTCAAACAAATTTTGTTTTTAATTTTTTTTTAAATATCATGTTAATCGAACAACTAATGATGTGTCGTTCGATCATTGCATGCAATCCAAATCCATCCATCATTTGCATGGCAATCTTATCAATATGGATGATGAAAAAGTAACATGATCATGTTAACAATTACACAAGTTTGTAACATGATTTTTATTTGGTTATGTTTATGTGTGATGGTAGGTTTTGAGGCTGATGTGGAGAAAGATAAGAGTTTATCCATTTCCTTTGAATACCACTTTTTCACTTAGGTCCATGCCACAGAATCATGGAATACAAAAACAGTTGGGAAGTTGGGTATAGGTATGGGAAGAGATTCTTCAAAATTCTGTGTCATGAAAATCCCAATGTTTATTATTATTTGATTCAATAAAATATGATTCAATCTTTTGGTATAGATTCTTTTGTTGAATGATCATGTTCTCAATTGTTTGAGAATTATTGTATATTATATATCCACGAACCAAAAATGTGGGATTCTTCATCAATTTGTAGTATCAACTCAAGGGTAAAGAGAATGTCAACTTCAAGCTGAATTTGATAGAAGGATAAGATGTAATTAGAGGGTAGGTTGTCTTATAAATTTATCAACATTTAATGTTTTAAATGATAAGAAAAGTGGAATGATGTAAATGTTAATAAATGTAGGGAAAATAATTTTATATAGAAATATTTACTCAATAAAAGGACAAAAAAGGGTAAAGTGTCGTATGGATAAATGTGGTGGTCCCAAGCATTATGCCACTTGTCTTCTCCATACACCCCTCATCGGTGTTGCCACCGGCTCCTACTTCGGAATGGGGTCCGAGGCCGTAGGCGTAGAGGCACTAGTGGCAACTTGTAGGCGGCACTTAAGCACTTTAGTTAAAAAGTGTTGTTTCATCAAGGGTCGCAACCTTGTGAAACAACACATACATGACCTATAAATATCTCATTCTGGAATTCAGAAAACACATCACAAGCTGAATATCCTCTTGAACAAATTTTAAACTTTCTTCGCTTCAAATCGAATTTTCATCGGTCTTGCGCAAATTCGATATAAGGCTAAATTATCCTGGATATTCCTGCGTTCCAACTCTAAGACATATTTGAGTGTGCTTGAAATACTTTTAAGGAAAGTGATCTCGTTCACAATTCAGTACTGGATCTATTCGACTTTACCTATATTTCTAACAGTCTTAAAAGTATTAAATAATGACTTCCAACGTTGCATTTTCAAGTATCAAGATTATGAACCAGGACTTTGTAAAGTTGGATCGCTTTGATGAAACCAATTACACCTGAAGGCAAGATAAGATGATATTTCTACTGACCGCTCTGAAGGTTCACTATGTCTTAGATCTTGACTTACCACCAATTCTTGAACCAACCGAGGATGACTCTGATGAACTCAAGAAGGAGCGTAAGAAACGTAAAGAGAACGAATTGTTATGTTGTGGACATATTCTGAATACAGTATTTGATCGTCTCTACGACCTCTATACGGATACTCAGTCTACAACAGAAGTCTAAAAAGCACTCAAGTTTAAATTCAAGACCAGAGAGGAAGATACAAAGAAGTTTTAAATTTCTAAATACTTTAATTTCAAATTTATAGATTCCAAGTCCATTCTTCCTCAAAATACACGAGTTACAGGTTCTCGGACATAAATAAAAGCTATCAAAATAAACATTCCTGAGAACTTTCAAGTTGGTGCAATCATTGCAAAATTATCACCTTCGTGAAAAGGATATAGAAAGAAATTGTTACACAGTTCTGAGGACTTCTCTATAGAGAAATCCAAAAACATCTTTGAATCGAGGGGGAATAGAAGGAAAAGGAGAAATCAGAATATGCTGGTATTTCCAAAGCCAATGATGTGACTGCTAGATGGAAAAAGAAGCATGATCGCATGAAAAGTCATCTTGAACCTAAAAAGGAACATGACAAATTCCAAATCCGGGTGGTTCGAAGGTCTGGAAAGCGGTTGTTTCGTATGTGGAAACCCCGTACACTATACTCGAGATTGCAGGCACAACAAGTCAAGAAATGAGATCAATGCAGTTCATGAAAATGACGACATAATCACTACGCTGAGCGAAATAATGACAATCAAAGGGAAAATGCAAGGATGGTGGTATGACACATGTGCTACAGTACATGTCTCTTATGGCAAGGCTGCTTTTAAAACCTATTATGGGGCAATTGATGGACATGAAGTACAAATGGAAAATGAAATACGATCTAAATTTGTTGGAACCGAATCCATCGAACTCAACTTCACTTCCGAAAAGAAAGTCACTATTGTTAATGTGTTTCATGTCCCCGGCATTACTAAAAATCTTATTAGTGGGGATTTATTGGGTAAACCGGGAATTAAAGCTGTATATGAATCAAGCAAACTTATATTGATTCGTAATGGTGTATTTATAGGAAAAGGATATTTCATTGAGGGAATGATCAAACTTTGGACTATTGATAATATTATTAATGAAATTTCTAATTATGCTTATATGCTTGAATCTATTTCTTTATGGAATTCTAGATTAGCACATATTGGTATTATTACTATGAAAAGACTAATTAAATTTGGAATGATCGCATGCAATAATCATGATTTTGAAAAATGTGAAATATGTGTCAAGTCAAAGATGATCAAGAAATATTTCAAAAGTGTTGAAAGAAACTCAAATTTGCTTAATCTTGTGCACTATGATTTGTGTGAATTTAATGGCATGTTAACCCGTGAGGGAAACCCATATTTCATAACCTTTATTGACGATTGCTCTTGATTCACACACATATATATATTTTAAAACATTAAGATGATGCTTTTAATGCCTTTAAAATCTATAAAGCAGAAGTAGAAAATCAATTAAGTAGAATTATCAAAGTCCTTAGAAGTGACAAAGACGGTGAATACTTTTCTAAGGAATTTGATTCATATTGTGAAGAATATGGCATTATACATGAATTTTCCACTCCTCGTACACCACAACAAAATGGTTTAGCCGAGAGAAAAAAATCGAACATATCAAGAAATGATAAATGTTATGTTAATGCATTATGAATTGGCATTTAATTTGTAAGGTGAAGCATTACTATCCGCATGTCATATGTTGCGGTGGAAATAGGATATCAAACTATTAATTAGTTTGAATCACAATTCTTAATTCACAACCGCTCTTTGATTTATCCGAAGGAAAAAGTCAAAAGAGGGAAAAACCTATTTTTGCATCGTAAACACAATGCGGGGAGAGCTCTAGGTAAGGGGTTGGTTAAGCTTAGGGAAGGTACTAACACCTTAAACTTCTGTAGTACTCTACAGGAACCTTTTGTTTATTGTACGCTTTTTTTATTTTATTATCTGTTTGAAATATATATTGAGTTAAAGGATAGAGTGACCTAAAAAAACCTAAAGGTTTGTCCTAAGTTTACTCGGCAAGACGTTGCATCTTGTGTCTCATATCCTGACGGGAATGGAATCAGAGTAGTTGTAGTTCCCCTCGAAAGGGAGGTTAGAAACTTCTTGACTATGGTCAAGGTTTCAATGGGGAATAAACGTATCTTAAGGACACGCTTACGTGGAGTTTTGAAACTCCTATTTCTACGTTGAATTTTTGATTGAAAATTAGGGTTAAATTAGGGTTGACTAAATGTTCCACGGCGGGAAACCCTAAAATAGAGTTCGACGACTCTTTGACCTAACGCTAGGGTAAAGGGCATTTTCGTCCACGGCGGGACACCTAGGCTAATAGGGTTTGGAAACGGTCAAGGGTTAAGACTATTGACTCGGCGGTCAAACGGCTAGACCTAATCCTTCGGAAGTGATTAACGGTAAAAATCATGCAAAAAGACAAAATATTATACTGCAGAATTAAAGTACAAAAAAAATAAAGAAAGCGGTAACAGAAAAGCATCGTGAAGATCACTCGCGTAAATTACAAATCCCAAAAATGCGAAAATAAATAAACTGCAACGATAGCCTCGCGTAATTACAACCATAAGAAAATAACATACGGAGAACTAAATGGTTAATAACGGTACAAATGATAGAACAATGTTAGGAACGTCATGCAATTAAATTCGAACCTGAAAGTACTATGCTAGACATATTTTTAAGTGTTGGAAATTAGTATCTACCAAATTGAAATTTTAATTTAAAAAAAAATATAGATTAAATTTACAAAGTAAGTTTACGTTTTTTTTACTTAAGTGCTAAAATAGAGTTAAAAATTGGTTTTAAATTGAAGTTTTCTTTAAAAATAAGTTTTAGGTTTGAAAAATAAATCTTTATTAGTTTTTAGAAAATATTTTAAATAAGTTTAGTTATGAATAGAAAAAAAGAAATTTTGATTTTAATTTTGTTTAATTTAAAAATTGGTTTTAAGAAAAGGATGTGAAATTAAGTCTTTTTAAAGATGGTTTTTAACTAAAAATCAAATCTTAACATT